CGCAGATGCATCCACTCCTTGTGACTTATGATCTTCAATGAAACTGTTTTGTATTTCTTTATTACTCCTTTGTCTCATACCTCTGCTCACTGTTTCTATTATGCTTTTCTTGTACTTTCTTCTCTTGCTTCGTGTGCTACACGGAATGTGGCGACTTGAACTTCCGCACATTTGTGCAAAGTTCTATGTCGAAAACAGACAGACAGACAGTGGAAGAAGATCAAACTGTTGAAAAATGATCTCAATGGTTTCATTGATTGGGATCAATGTGAACAAGGAGGTTGCATTAAATGACACCACGAACTTATTTGAAACGTCCATGTGATTCACACTTTCGGCATAATTAAATAAGTCTTTCATGGTGTGCACGGTTATCCGTAGACGAATGGGTTTCAACTTCTCCGCAAGCCAGCGGGAAACCTTATGTTGGGGAGAGTTGATCATCGAAAGTATAGGTCTCAGAGGGACTTCTTTCTTCTGTTTCTTTTGAAGGCCATACATATGCGGCAAATAGGACTCGGGATTTCAAATAATTGTACGTATTGTTGTCAATCAATTTCTTCTTTAGAAGATCTCTTAGTACGTTTGTGATGCGTTTTTCAACTGCATCTGTCTTGTCTTTCTGGTAGTCGTCGACTTTAAACCTCAAATTTTATCTTTCCGATGAAGTCATCTCTGTCCATCAGCCAACTCCTGAACCTTTGTCAGATTTCTGAGAGCTTTCAACGCTTTTTGATGCTCTTCAGAGAGGATTTTAGAATATGACGTTGGTGAAATGAGGTATTGATTTCTGTGTTAACTTTCGTGTGAGATAGGGATGGTTCCTTTCGTGTTCGACTTATAACACGAATAGTGAGAGTGGGATTTCAACCCCCCCCCCAAAAAAAAAATTATGCCGTGGAATTTCACCTCCTCGGACTGTATAAATTTCAAATTGTGATTTTAATCCAGTAAATTACAGGTGTTCACTTTAAAGAAGTTGATCCGTTCAGGACTCGGATGATTTGAACTGATTCCGCTCTCTCTCTCTCTCTTTCAAATCAGTCATATTTGGGAACACAGCTGTTGTGGAAGTAGGTGTGAGTAGGTCCAACTACTCGTATGTCAGTCAGTCAGTAGTATAATAGCGAGAGACTCTCCTGCATCTCTATTAAAATTACCTTCTTATACACATAACACAACTTCTTAAAAGCTCAACCTCCTGACTTATCTTCCATTATAGATTTGTGAGTGATGAAAATCATAACCCATCTGTAGATTTCTCTCTCATTTCATCTTGTTGCGTGTGAGTATACATTCATGGAAGTCGTCTTTTGAATAATGTTGTTTCTCATCAGGGTCTATTAGCACACACTTTTATCACAAATATAAACAAAAGACGAACAAATGGCAGTCTCTACACCCTCTCACCCTCCCCAACGAACGCACACACACATACACACAAATTTTTATTGTACTTTCACCCTCCTTGACTCGCCAGTGTTAGCTGATATTTAATGATTAGGCTGTAAAAGAGCCTGTGTCTCAAGGGAACAAACTCTTATAGTAGCGCGATTATCAGACATCTCCTTGACACGGGTCATACGGTGGAAGTCGAGAAATCCTTTAAAATTATCAGTAGACAAAAGAGCTCGATTCTCCTCAAGCTTGTCGAAGCAATTTCTATCATACGTTTGAAACCAGATTTATGTACTCAGAAAGAAGATGTTATCAGTCTTTCCTTGCCCTGACTGGTAACAGGATGTCTTTATTCTCTCATCGGATTACATAATCTTTGTCTTTAACCTCACCCGCCTTTATAGTCTGTAGTTTTACTTATCTCTTGTTTCTATGGTTTGAGTTGAACTCAGTACATTGTTGCCTAATTGATTGGTCATTCATCATCTCATGCACCTCTTATCTTTCAATTACGTAACTCCTTTACCACTGTATGCATACATTTATTTTGTTTAAACTTGAACTGCCTGTGTAAAAACTATATAAGTACAATTTTCTGAGCACTGTTCACTAATTGTGGAACTTTCTGTCGACTGACAACATGTAAAATTTGCAATTAAACCTCATAATTTATTCAAATTCATAACGAGGGGAATAAATGCATGAAAAGAGCTAGTGATAGTCTCAAACCCAACGTGTTAACTGAAGGCACTGAGTAAATAAGTTTGTAAACTTTCACGATTTGGTTTGTGAGGATTTGATTTATTTCAGATTGAAATCAGTTAGACAGAGATCTGTTGAAAATCACCAGGGAATACTGGACAGCTGTTCCGTCAGCCTAGTGGAGGGGGGGGGGGTACTCATCGTCAGCAGACACCCAGTCGCCGGAACTCGACTCAATGATCATCCAATTGTCTGTTCCTTTCACATCCCGAGTGGAACATATGGATGACTTCAAGCCTCTTGAGCTTTAAAGTTTCAGCACCTGTGGTGATGTTTTTTCACGAGGTGAACTGGCTGGTCCCACGCCCAAGCTTTCTTTGTTTTTTACCGGGCTTATTATCTCCCAGATAAACCAACCTGGAATCGAACTCTGAGGCGTGACTGTGAAATGTTGTATGTTCTACCACTGAATAACCACAGACTCAGACTGAAAGTTTTTAAAAGTTTCTTTTTATGCATACATGTGTTACATGCTATACAAATAACGTTTTCGATAAAAGAAGAAATACGAAATTCGGAGTATAAAGTGATATCACTCTAATTCACAGGTTCTCGTCAGCTGCAGACTACCTGAAATTACAATGGTTATATAGATTATAGTGACATACTTTAATGTTTGTCTGGTAGTAAAGAAGAGATCAAATTGACGCATCCAAAATGAAAGCATTACCATCTTTTTAGTTAAAGTTTTCATCATCAATTTATACACTTTTAAAGTTGAAAAGAGCGGGGAGGGGTGAGACAGAAAACAGAAAAAACTGATTAACAGAACAGTGTTAGCTTGTAGCTTGTTCACATAGCAACTCCAAAAAAAAACAAAAGCTGTTACAATTTATGAGATTAAGATTTGTTCAATGAGTTGAGATCACTGAATTAGATGACTAATCAAAATCAAAACTTTGTTACCAAAGGAGTATGCATAAGCCTGGTTTAAATTGTTTCATTGCAATCGCTTCGGTGAATCGTAGTAAATTTGCTGTCCTTTATCTGTTTCATATTTTGAAGGACATGGAAATCTCTACTAGTTGTCCGCTATCAACGGTATGTCTGGTAATTGCACTCTGAGAATATTTACTTCTTTTCAGACACAGGTTTCTTGGAATATGTTCAGAAAACCACTGGATAGAAGCCCTTCTTTCTATCCTTCCAATGTACTTGCTCCTGCAAGTGCACGTAAATTCATAAACGCAGTTGGAGGTGACATCAGCAGGGTATTTATCCAGTTTTGAGTGGATTATAGAAGGATTGTATACACAATGTCTTCGATCATAGGTGCCTGCGTTCTATTTCCCGTGTAAAGTGGCATAATAAGGTGAGCAACATGGAGGTTAGGCGTAGAGTTCTAGGTAAACAGGGGAAATCAATCGACGAAGTCGTGAAGCTACAGAGACTGAGATGGTTAGGACATGTGTTACGTATGCCAAGCCTAATCATCGCCTCCCTCGACGAGCAATGTTAGCGGATATAGGGTCAGACTGGAAATAAGCTAGCGGCGGTCAAACAAAAACTTGGCATCAGTCAATGAAATCCACAACAGTTGGTTTAAGCCAGTCACGTAGGAAGGTGTAGACTTCCAGGCTGGGGTCCTTGGGACGGTAAAAATCTATGGTTGGAAACAATTGGTGACATGGCTCAAAATCGTTCTCAGTGGCTAGCGCAGATGCATCCACTCCTTGTGACTTATGATCTCCAATGAAACTGATTTGTTCTTCGTTTATTACTCCTCCTTTGTCTTACCCCTCTGCTCACTGTTTCTATTATGCTTTTCTTGTACTTTCTTCTCTTGCTTCGCGTGCTACACGGAATGTGGCGACTTGAACTTCCGCACATTTGTGCAAAGTTCTATGTCGAAAACAGACAGACATAGAAGGAGGAGGTGCTGTATACTGTAATTTCAGGCAGTCTGCAGCTGATGAGAACCTCTTTTTATACTGCAAATTTCGTCTTCCTTGTTTTCTATCTAAATTTATCAAGGGAACTAATTATATGAAGTTTTTCAAAATAACGTTTTTTTTAACAAAGCAAGAACTGCAATTTTAGGAGAATAAAATGGTACCATCATTGTTTATTTCGTTGCCTTCTCGTCAGCTGCTTACAGGGCAAAGACATTATTAAATATATCTACAACAACAATTTTGACATACTTGCACAGAGTTCAGTTTAAACAAAAATCAATCGATCAATATACTCATACACTAAAAATATATACATATAAAAATATGCAATATTAACCACTATTCCGAACAGCAATAATAATCATACACAATGGAAACTTTTAGCATTTCGCATTCGGAAGAAAGAGAGGTGAAAATATCCAGTTACCAGGGCAAAGAAAGACTGATAACCGCTTCTTTCTGGACGCATAAATCAGGTTTCAGGCGTTTGATGGAAATCGCTTCAGCAAACTTAAGGAGAACTGACCTCCTTCGCCTATTGATAATTTTGAACGACTTTCCGACATTTACCTCATGACCCGTGTCGAGGAGATGTCTGCTGATGGTACTGTTTAAAGCATTTGTTCCCAGCTGTAGACATAAGGCTTTTGGTACATGTTCAGAAAATCATAGATATACACTTCTTCATTCTGTCCTTCCAATGTAACTGCTCCCTCTAATACGTGTAAATTTGTATACACACAGTTGGAGTTGTTAACATGAGAAGGATTTTTGATTGCACCAAAGAAGAGCAGGTTGTTCGATAGACGGGGACGAGCTTAGCTAGCTGCAGGATAGGCTATGGCTAGTGATGTACTCAGTCTTCTGTTGATCATCGCTGCAATGTTTTCACCTTTATAATCGAGCTGAACGTTTTCTTATGTTTTCTCTTTATTCATTATTTAGAGTTTCTATTCACGTTTCCATTAACAACCAAACTGATCTCAAGTCGATACATTATGGAGAAAATATCCAATATAATAATAGGCTTGATTTGGAATAGATCAACTTCCAATGTGTGTGTGTGTGTGTGTGTGTGTATCTATGTATGTATGCTTATTTCATTCATTATGCTTTTATTCCTTGTATAAAGAAAAAGTGGAGCAAAAAGAGGAAAAGGAACCACCATGTGTCTTAACCAACCCCCTACCCACCCTCCTACAACCTCACCCGCCCATCCGTCCTCCTTATATACCTATTCACAGGCTAGACTAGATGCCAGTAGAGTGTAAAGCGGGGCAGTTTAACAGAAGAAACATAATTTTGATGACACATACAATATATAATATAATACTTTGCTATTTTTGCTCACTTAATTTGTGTAATTTCTTTCTTCTGTTTTTTGTAATGTTTTTTCCTTGGCTTTGTCCTTTTATTTGTGTGAAGTATTAGTAATAATAATAATAGTAATATTACTGGTGATTTACAACATTCCTTTAATGTGCATCTAAATCATTTTTATGCGTGTTATTATTATTATTTATTATTATTATGTAATTTTTAGTTTTTGTCTTTGGCTTCTTTCACCTCTCCATTTGCCCCCCCGCCGGCATCCTGCAGTCGTCTCCCAACTCCTCAACTTAATTCCGCCTCTCTCTCTCTGCACATCCAACCACCCATCCACTCATCCTTACATACAGACTGCTTGTAACCTTTGCATTTCTTTCTGTGTGCTGCTATTTGTGAAATTTGACAAAACTGTGGGTTCACGGGACAGAGATGGATGGATGTGTGTGTGTGTGTGCTATCGGAGTCTCTTTTCTTAATTATTATTTTTATTTTCTTTGATTTTTCCTTCTCTGATCTATCATTACTGTTGTTGTTGTTAGTGTCATTGATTATCTCAGGATTAAATGTGAAAGTTGTTCAATCGATTGATCCCTGAATGTAAGACTGTTTTTTTCTCTCTCTCCGTGTGTGTGTGTGTGTGTGAATGTGTGATTAGTTCTCTTTATTTTTTGCTTGAATTTCAATTTCCTTCTCTCTTTTATGTGTTTGTATATGGTGAATGATTATATCTCATATGTTTGAATTGAATAAAAAAAACATTTTCATTATTTGATGATACTTTGTGTTGTTGCACCCTGATCCATGTGTCGGTGATATTCGCTAGCAATATTGAGGTTAGGCATTGGTCGAGTGCTAGCTAAGGAGGGAGGGGAAATCAATCTATTTACGAGCCTGTGAAGCAGTTACATCGACTGAGATGGTTAGGACATGTGTTGCGCATGCCCATCCTAGTCATCGCCTTCCTCGACGGGTAATGTTATCTGACTAACATAGGGTCTAGTTGGAAAAGAATTAGCCCAGTGGTGGTCAAACCAAAACATGGCTTGATCAGTCATTGAAATCCACAACAGTTAGTTTAAGCCAGCCAGTCACATAGGAAGGTGTAGACTGGCCTCCTGGTTAGGGTCCTCGGGAAGGTAAAACCAATGAATACAATTGGTGGGTGGTGGCTAGCAGTGAAATCCAGGATGCGCATTTCGTCCTATTTGGATCTCGTCAGCTGGATGTACCTGAATCTCTCAGTGAGTGATGATGTTCCCACCGAGGCTCGAACCCAGTACCCATAGTTTCAAACGCCAAAGCGTTATCCACTAGACCATTTGGGCCACGAGAGCCACCTCTTGTGCAACGGGTCATATTAATTATTGAATTGAATTTTTGATTTTCCCGTCGATTGATTGGACCGAAGTTCTCGGTCTCAGGTTGACATGTCGGCTTCTTGTGCAGATGCTTCGACGATGTCTGGGCATTTAATTAGTATACAATTAGTGGATGGTGGCTAGCAGTGGAATCCAGGATGCGCATTTCGTCCTAATTGGGACTTGTCAGCTGGATGTACCTGCATTTTTATATTGTTCTTCGTTATTACTATTCGTTTGTCTCACACCTCTGTTTACTGTCTCTCTACTATGCATTTCTTCTACTTTGTTCTCTTGATTTGTATGCTACAAGGAGGGAGTGTGGTGTCTTGAACTGGTGCACATATGTGCAAAGTTCTATGTCAAATACAGACAGATATTTGCTAGTAGGATGGTGGATACTCATCAATCGATCAACAACGCGTTTGTTGAACGATATTTGATGCCTGTATAACAACAGAAGGCAAGATATGGAAACCAAGGTGTATTTTCAACTGATCAAACCTCTGTTTATATATCTATAGTTTATATATTCTTTAACCAATCACTGAGCGCGTGTGTTGTTGGTTTACATTAAACGACATGAAATAGAATGTTCAAATATACACATATATAGTATTATGTTGCTGACGTAGTATTAAACTGTTGGAAAACTATTTTGACTCTAGCAACAAACAGAATGTTCAAATAGATATATATATCTAGTATGAACGAAGGGCACAGAAGAAGCAGATAGAGCTTATGAAAGGAAGCTAGACGCTGGTAAATTTCCAGCACATCCTAAAATGTACGTCTACAATTATAGTAGTGTTGAATTGAATAAGGTGCAACATCAAGTAATTTCTCTTGGCCTTCGATTTTGTGATAAACTGAAATCACCTAGATACTGATATTGAATTTGAAAACCTATTTAGTCAAACAAAAGATCTACTTCCATCATCCACCTTGGGATCTAGAACGCTTCAGATCCAGTCTAGTGGATTGTTGTTATCAGTGCAAAAACCTCAAATGCGACAGTAAACGTTTCTTGACAACAAAAGAGCACAGAAAAGAACTAAAAAAACTGATTAATGATGAGAGACTGATAGTTACAAAGCCGGATAAAGGATCAGGAGTAGTCCTCCTTCATAGAAGTGACTATATTAAAAAGATGAATGATATATATTGAAGGACACACAGAAGTTTCAAAAACTTCAGGAGAGGAAGGAATTCAATAAGGAAATAGAGAATGACTTGATTAACCAGACGTTAGAAGAAACTAAGAGAGGAGCAGGTAATTTCTGAAAATTTATATGAAGAAATCGGAACAACGGGTACGTATACGCCAAGATTACGTGGCCTACCTAAAGTGCATAAACCAGGGGTACCATTAAGACCAATACTTGATATGCAGAATTCGCTCTCCCACGCTCTAGCTAGATGGTTAGTAAATATTCTCAAATCTTTGTATGAGAAGGTAGTGAAATATAGCGTCAAAGATGTATTTCAATTCGTAGGCAAAATAGAAGATATTAATATGAAGGACAAAACCATGATATCTCTGGACATAACGTCGTTATTCACAAATGTACCTCTGATAGAAACAGTTATATACTATAAGTGGACAAGCTGTCGATAAACATTGGCATACATACTTGGGATCCTAAAAGAATTGACATTAAGATGTACCATGAATGTAAACTTCAAATTTGACGGTATGCTTTACAGACAAGTGTACGGGGTGGCGATGGGCTCCCCATTGTTTCCCATTCTGGCTGATTTCTTTCTAAGTAAGCTAGAAAATGAACCTTTAAACAATCTTATCAGTAAGCTCTTATTTTATTGCCGATATATGGATGACACATCCATCCTTTGTGATAATAATTCGGATAGGAGAACAATATTAACTGAATTCAATGAAGAACATTCGTCTATGAAATTCACATGGGAAGAGGAATCCCTAGACAGAATTGGTTCAGTATCCATTCTTTTGAAAATGTATAGTATTCATGAAAAACCCCCATTCGAACATTATTAGACAGAATACCAGTAGTAGTTCAGTGAAGAGTCTCTTGTCGACAGCGAATTCATTTTCATAGCCATACAGTCGCCAATATATATATATATATATATATATATATGGCTATTTTTTATGTGTGTGTACATTAAATTTGTCAAAAGAAAATACAATTAGTAAGCTCAGATGAATTGGATGTTGAAATAAGAGGGTAGTAAGAAAAGTGATGAGTAGTCACAAATGATTGTTAAAGAAGAGTTACGTAATGACATGAATAGTTTGATGCAAGAGTTTTGCTCAGGGTATACATGAAAACAAAATAACGTACCCATTTTGTCAGGATGCTGTTATCCACCAAGATTCATAGGCAAAAACATCAAGCAGAAAATCCAGAAGCTAGAGACGTCATTCGTACCAAAAAAGATCTGTTATATGAACCTCGACTTCAAAGGTGACCTACTCAGTTGATGTCCTTAGGAGGCGAATTTCCACTTCTTTAAGAAGAACTTTCTTCGCGGCAACATTGAGACTAGTGTTCTCCAGTCGTCGGCTGTTCTTCAGAAGCCCAAAGGACAAGATCCCGCACATGACCACTTCTGTGTGTTTATATCAGTTCACCTATTGTTGTGGAGCCAGATACATTCGTTGGTCGACGTATATTCTGTCAAAAGGGCCAAAGAACACTGTGCAGTGTGGCTGCAGAAGGTTAGTAGTGGCCGTATATAGAGTGCAATAATCGAATATCTCGTCACCACTGGTCATTGCATCTCAACAAGCGCCTGCTGCTTCAGAGTAATCCTCAAAGTGAAGAACAACCTGCCAAAGACAATACGTTTCTGTCTTTGCATTGCAGAAGCTCTAGCCATTCATTTGGAAGAACAAGGATTTTGCATACAAAAGAAAATTATTCAACCACTTCTACTATCATGGTAACAACCCTGTTGATTTGACTTAACTTTCGCTTGTATGCTTATTTTTCTAACTACCTAAATCTCTTGCGTAATTCCGTATGCTATTTTGTTTCCATGTACACACTGAGCACATCTCTTTCATTAGACTATTCATGTTACTACGTAACTCTTCTTTAACAATCGTTTGTGACAACTCATCACTTTTTTATTACATGGAGGATTTAATCATGAGCTGACATCAGTTAGAGAACCACTGGAAAACCTGGGAGTACTGGACAGCTGTTTCGTCCTAGTTTGGGACTCTTCAGCAGTACGCACCCACCCACTAGGACGAAACAGCTGTCCAGTACTCCCAGGTTTTCCAGTGGTTCTCTAACTGATGTCAGCTCATGATTAAATCCTCCATGCAATCAAACAAAATCCCTACAAAACCAATACTTGAAAAACTTTTTTATTACTATCCTCTTATTTCAACATCCAATTCATCTGAGCTTACTAATTGTATTTTCTTTTGACAAATTTAATGTGCACACACATACAAAACAATCACATACAATATTTGCGATTGTACATCTATGAAAATGAATTTGCTGTCGACAAGAGACTCTTCACTGAACTACTAGTGGTCTTCTGTCTATATAGTATTCTGTTGCTAATTCAGTATTAAACTGTGGGAATATGTGAGAATCATATTCCGTTGGAACACATTGTCTGTATCACACCACCACACTTGGACTCCAAGGCATGCCTAAATCTTGCTTATCTGGCCGTAAGTTTGGCTAATATGGAAGGTTGAACATACAAAGCGGTTAGGAAGCTGCACTGAGTTGTGATGTCGACACTTGTATATTTTTAAATATTAGAACAAGTCATATAAGCGAACAATGCTGTTGTTTTCAATTAGATCTTCTTCATGCTTTACTCTAATTTAAATAGATTTATATACAAAAATTTTTAACCAATGACGGTAATTTTGTGGATCAAATAATAATAATAATGTGGTAAATGTTTTGAACGTAATTAATAACAATGATTATAATGATAACAAAATAGTGATAATAAGGTTTATGCAGGTGGCGATAAGAATAACGAAGGTAGTAAGGAATATCTAGAGATGTAGACAATTCAATAAATAAATTAGGTCAAATCTTAAAAGTTACGTAATACTAAAGGTAGGTGAAGTGGACTGATAATCAGAGTCTAAATAAATATCATAAAAGTACGAAGGAGATGGAAAATAAGAAGCGGTGGGAGAGTTTTTAATTAGAATTTACCTAGGTCAAAGGAGAGACAAAGGTATAACAAACTTTTTTTGTATGCAAAGACTAGGATTGTCCTCTCGAACTAATTCCCATAGCTTCGGTTATGTGTAAAAGGCGGGTTCGAAAGGCTGAATGGAATGCGACAGATAACTTCGAAGGCATTATTTTTGTCCACTTGGTGATCGATATCATCAATCAAATGAGCCAAAAAAGAAGTTTTTTATAGATGTTATTTGACCTTTTCTGAA